GTTATGGAAGAAGAGGAAGAAGAAAGCAGAGGCTGCAATTTCGGGAGGAAGAAGAAAGCAGAGGCTGCAATTTCGAGTTTTCTACTGAGGGGTAATTTCGGGATTAAGAAAAATTATAAGGGATAAGAATGTAATATCCTTGGTCAAAGCAATATGGCTTTTAAGCCAATTTCGAAGAAGTTGGGTTTACCCAACTTGTTGGTTTTGGCTTTTTTTAAGCAGATTTTACCTTTTTTAAGCCCTTTTTTTGGTTGCCAAACACTTCCAGAAGTTAAAAAGTGCTTAAAAGCTGGTTTCCATCCAAACAGGCTCTTAGTCAGTTCTAGCTTAAACAAGATATACCCTTTTTGGGATATTTGACTCTACCATTATCAAAATTAGTTAGTCTAATATGATCACATCGAGAGTAATCTTTTTTATGAGAAACACAATACAAGAGTGCTGGCATAAAGATAATGATTGAATAATGCACATACATGGATTAGGACTACACTGCAGAAATAGAAGAAAAAAGTAGCTAATTGAATAAATAAATTGCGTCCCAGCACCACTGAACTCCTGCAACCCCCAGAAAGATACTCGAATCTTTTCAAACTTTCCGCTTCCTAGATTCACCTGATCCTGCTTCATTTTCCAAGTAACATTCCTTAGCCTTTTTTTTTTTTTTTTTTTTTTTTTTTTTTTTTTTTTTTTTGGCCGGGGTGATATAAAATCCTTTCTCAGTAGGACACTTCAGTGAAACTAATTCATCTTTTTTTCCCAGCAGAGGGAAACCTCATACCTTTGTGGCTTTCTTTTCTTGATTAGGTGATAAAATCTAGTACTCCATGTAACAGGAAAATTCCCAGAATGCAAGAGGTATAACAGAAGTGCTGAATCAACACAAAAATGATTCTCTACTAAATGCCATTCAATCATGTGTAATAACTAGAACCTCATCCATGCACTATACCTTTGTCGCTTTCTGGATGATGGCTACCAAAATATTTGAATTTTTTTGGATGAATACAACAATAATGAACAAGAGCATCCTCGAGAGCTTTTCCAGATAATATCAAGTTAAATGAAGTTTAATATTGGATGCAGCTGAAATAAAAAACATTCAAATTTCACAAGATGATATTTCTAATAGTTTTGATACTCCCTATCAGGTAGATAATGTTTTTACGAAACCAAGAGAGACCAGTACAAAGTTTGAATGTACAATTGTCAACCATTTATTGTATAAGTAGAAACCCCCCTAACTGTAGTCCCATTACTAGCTTAGCTTTACTCGTGTGATCAGGATGTGTAGGCAGCTGAAATCAAAGAGAACATGCTAATGCATAATTTATTACCCCTACAATCTTGGGTTATACCTGAAAATGATGAACCAAGTTATAATGACCCAATGATAAAATCTTGAGATATTGAGAACAATTAAATGTTTCCCATCCATTGTCCATCAATAGAAGTAACTTGTGTATTACTTCCAACATAACTGTTAGGAAGAACAAGCTAAAGAACCTACAACAACGAAATTTACCTCTTCATATTTGAGTTTTTATTTTGATATCACATACCTGTTGAATATTTGCAGGTAAAATAGCTCTTTCAATGGCTTTTGGAGTCCATATCTTTATGTCACTCTCGATTCCACTGCTGGCTAGCACTGCGGTATGAGGATGGGACTCAATGCAGTTCACTACGCGCTTATCTGCTTCCATAACACGAACAAGATCCCCACCCTTTTTCTTCCATATGAAAATTCTACCACAGTCTGATCCACTCACCACATATTCACACTTGGGCCCGAAAAAATTCACGCCCTTTACTGTTTCAGAGTTCTTGTGCCCCTTGTAGACTTGTGGACCAATGTTTTCTCCCGTCTCTATGTCAGCTGGAGATGCACCAGATTCGTGATCTTGGCTCATTTCACCCTCATCACTGTCATTGTACAATGGCGAAGTAGGGGATGGATCAGGTCCCAGCCCCATGTCCTTTGTGAAAAGATAAATAAACTCTTCATTATATGTAACAAGAAGCTCACTCTGGTCAGAGAAAGCCAAGCCTGTTATCCCCACGTTCTCATCACCAACTAGATGTGGGGGACAAAAATAGTCAACCGGTTGGCCAAAATCAGTGGATCCATCCCACTTATATTTGCGGATGTCGAAAATTCTTGTAAATTCATCTGATCCAGCAACAGCAAACAAATAGGGATTTCTTGGATCTATTGTAATTGCATTTAGATGAAGTACGGACATATATCTCCTCACCCGCTGAGGTCGGCAAGTAAAAAGCTCTGTAGCGATGTTTGTTCTCAAATCTATCTGTAAGAACACATTGAATCAGACCATTTGCCATATAAAGCTCAGATGAAAAGAAGCTATGAGAAACCTCGACCACAACCATACTTATTTTTCAAAGTCTCAATCTCTTTGTATTTCAGTGTTTTAGCATTTCTGTTTTGCTTTTCTTATTCCCATAAAGCCCATAGATTTTTAGCAATCATTTACAAAAATATAAAGGACATTATGTCATTATTTTACTTCAACATATACTCCTTAATAGTTTGATTTAAAACTATGTTTACAACTTTACATATATACTGTTTCCAAGCATAAGGACAAAGTTGTTCCGGTAAATGAGTGGGGAAAAAGGAAGAAGAAAAGAAGCAATCTTCTACTACCAGCGAAAGAGATCTATTGAATTCAAACTAATGAGTAATATCATAAATATAAGAAATTTTTCATGAGATGATGCAAAGGGCTATAGAACTACAGGAACCACGACAGTAACTCACATGTTGAACTAACCCATCTTCTCCACAAGTGTAAAAAATATGAGGGCTTGCAGGCTCAATTGCCAATTTGTGAGCTCGTCCTTGATGTTTGGCCAGTAACTTGGTTTCCACCTTCCCATGATCTAGAATCTGTGCTTGTCTCACCTGCATGATTGTTATCATTAAATTGTGTAAAATAACAGTATCTTTTTTCTCACTGGATGCAGTAGCAGAAGCAAACTATAATAGCAGAAGTGAACTATAATCCTTTTGTAATTTTGAAGTAAATCTGCAACTCCTAAGAAGGAAATAAGTGCCCTCCTTTCAGGAAGATCAAGGAAATAGAGGGCAAAGACAGCATACCATTTAGGAAGGTGATGACCTACATGAAACATCATGAAGAACGAAACCCACAAAAAGAAGTTACCTGTCCATCTGCAGCACAGGTAACAATGCTTCGATCATCAGTGTATGGCATAATTTTTGCTTGAAAGACATTGTTATGATGACCTGAATGGAACGAGAGCACAACTTTCCCAGTGTCCCAGTCCCAGAGTATGACCATTTGGTCATCAGAGCCTGATATGACTATGTCCCCATCAGCATTGAAGCTAACTGTATTAACACAGCCCCTGTGCTTCTCCAGCTTCCGCAAGACATCAAGTCGGAGCACCAGATCCTGGTACAACAGTTAGCAGGCTCCAGGTTCTGAGAATTTCTTGGAACATAAATAGGACACAGCTAAGAATCTTTATTCAAATGAATATAAGCTCTTCAGCTGATATCATATTTAATATATTTTCAAAATAATTAAGGACGCAAATGGAGAAGGTATTGCGCTTATAAATCACTTCACCCTTAACTAAGTCGATGCAACAATTAAGCAAACTGATTTTGTTTCAAATTTACAATCCTATCTCTCTCTCTCTACTTGTTAATGAAATAAAATTTCCTTCTCAACACAGAAAACAAAAGAAAGTTAATAACACAAAAGTTGAGACAAACAATAACCTACTCCACCTTTGTCCTAAGCTTCACTTAGTGAAATAATAAATGCCACATAATCTTTGATCATCTTAGGCTCAGTAAAACTAAAGATACAAACATGAATTGATGTCCAACGGTTAAGCAGCAGCAACAATAACAATAATAATAAAAAATGGGGAAAGCACCTCAGCTTAACATCTTTCAAGGATCACAATCAGTAAATGTTTAATACAATGATTTATGTATTTCCAGCATAAAAATAGGCGAGACAATGTCACCTTCCTTTTTTTTTTTTTTAAGCGACAAGTTCGCCTTGACATATTTCAAGAGTTATCATAAACACATGTAATTAACAACTAAGACACTAACGATCAGAAAATTTCATATTTACATCGCAAGAAATGAACTTCAGAAAAATTAAAAAAAAAAAAAAAAAAAAAAAAAAAGTTGTACCTCAGAGGCAGCGAGACGTTGAGCGAAGTTTCTGGTAGAGAGTTGCCCAACTTCACGTTTCCAAACATCCACAACTGCACAGTCGACGCTACTTCTCGTCCTTTTTCTCATAATCGCAATCAGAAATTGACTCAATTTGATGCCTGCCTTTTTGGTTCTTCTACTATTTATATAAATTACTAGGGGTCAAATGACAATCGGATTGATTGAGACTGAATTTAATTGAGTTTTAATTCTTTATCAAACGTCAATGGAGGATTGGAAGAAAGAGAGCGGCCCCTTGGAGGATCTCGCCGCGACTATACGCTTTGTTTCTTACTGCTTGTTTTTTGCAACAGCGACAAGGAAATAAAGAGACTCCATTTCCCTTCTAATTCTCTCCCTAAGTTTTGTTTTCTTTTTTCTCTCTCTTTTCCGGTATTCTTTCTTTCCGTAGGATTTTGTTTTACTCTTACTCTATGTTTCCATTTTTTTTTTGGGGGGTAGGTCTTGTAAATAAGCATCATTGTACTGCTTATTTACTAGTGGGATATTAACCTTGTTTGGATGTTTGTTAACAATTGTATTCCTATTATATTATTATTCCAAAATAATATTTGTTTTGATTGTTTATTTAAAATTGATTGTATCGTATTGTTAAACTCATTATTTCGGAACAACCAAAAATCTCATTTTATGAAATAATTGATTTGGTGTGGTGGGATCATTTCCTATTTTTTATTCTAATTATGCCCTTACTTATTACTCCATAATTCTATTTTATCATTTAAATTTTTTTTATTTTAACTTCAAATCTCTAACCTATTGACCTACTTTGTCTTCTTTCATGTTTTCTAGAGTTGGTTTGCCCCGTTCTTTTTATTATCCAAGTCTCTGTTCGATTCTTTGTCTCTTTTCATTGTTTTAATTTATTTATTTTTTTGTTGCTAATATTAGTTAACCTTTTTTACCCAGGTTTTTGCTCTTGTTTCCAAGCTAGGTAATTAATGATAAATAAGTAGAAAGAGGTTTTCTTACATTATTTTTATGTGTAATTTTTGATAAATTTTATTTAAAATAATTACGGGTATTTTCGTGAACTTATCGGTTACAGTACGGTACGATACAGTCAAACCAAACAACAAAAATATTATTTAACAACAGCAAACGATACAATCTATTCAAATGTTGTATTCATAAAACGATACAATACAATACAATACATTATAAAACGATGAGTAACAATGATCCAAATATAGTGTTATTCTTTAGTCTTGACTCAGCAAATATAAAATAGTCTTTGAACTATGGCACCCGAAATGACATGTGTCTATTATGAATTATCAAATTTAAGCTACATACCAGCAGAAACAAACTTACATTTGCAAAAAGGCAAAATACATAAACGGTCCCTTTGAGTTATCTTGAACGATCATATGAACACCTTCACTGACCTCATTACCAATTAGACAGTTCTTCTCTACTGAAGTGCAACCTCGTGAACCCCTCACGCTGACATGGCAAAGTGCGTGCTTTATATTAGCATTTGAGCGCGTGAGACCCTTAAAATTAAGTCTTTTTCTTTTTGTTTTTTAGGAAAATGTCCAAAATTACCCTTCTACTATGGTACATTGTTTACTTCTGCCACCCGTTATACTTTTTGTCCAAATCTATCCCTGCCGTTAACAAAGTTTGCATAATTGCCCCTAACCCTAATGTCCCTCCACTGTGGCAGCCAACCCCTCTAATATTTTGTCCATGTCAGCTGCCAAGTCAGCAGGTCCCACTAATTAATCCACCCTTTTTCTTATTAAAATATTCTCTTCTTCTTCTCCTTCTCTTAAGTCTTAACTCAAGAATTATTTTGGTCGCCATTTAAAGATCAAAACCACCATATTTGAAGCTTTGATGAATGCTTCCAATGGAGTCTTTAGATCTCTTTCTAGTTCCAAGTTATCTCCAGAATAGCTAATCCTGATTTTATAGCCCACGTAGTTAAGTTCAGATATTTTGAAAACCAAAGATTAGCAACAAATCAAACTCGGACAACAAATAACTCCTAATTATCTTTTAAAAATTCAAGCTTTAAGCCCAACGAACCCAGGTAATGGTGTTTTTCAAAAGTTCTACTCCAGATCTTAGTGAATTTTCAGCTCCACAAACACACAACCAACTGAATTTAATTTCCAATAAACAATAACATATATTTTTCTCCTCAAATTTGAATAACTTTTTTTCCAACCACAACTTTGATCTCCGAGCTAACCTAGCACTAGGTGCTTGTAATGTTCAACTCACTTTCCACCCAGCAACCGCCAAATGATTCAAACAAAATCAATAGAACCTCATTTGTTCTTGTTCTTCATTGAGAAATCAGGCGTTTAACTAAAAAATTATCCAAAATAGAAAAATAGTATCTACTTCATATTTGTTCTTCATGGTTTGCTTCTAAAATCTGATATCTCACTAATTCTTGTTCTTCATTGAGAAACCTGGTGTTTAACTAAAAATGTATCCTTGATCTCTTCTCTTGAAACTTGGATTTGGAAGTTGGGTTTGAAATCCCATCACTGATTTGGGGTTTAGAACTAGGCCATCATTGCCGAGTTTAGAACTTTGAATCTGGGTTTGCATTTTTGGAGGTCAGAGGTATGTTTGTTCTGAATCTGATAAGCTCGTCGAAATCTTCTCGAAATATAGAATTATAAGTGAATCTGTAAAATGCGATTGACGAGTCGAGGCTCTCAGATCTGAAAATTCATCGAAGTTATGACTCAAATCAATTGGGTGTTCAAATTTCTTGTGGGAAAAACCTTGCGAAGCTTGTACTAATATTTAATTCTATTTGGAGAGGATTCGAACATCATAAGCTACTCGGTCTCTTGGAAATTCGAATTTGAGGTTTAAAAAAAAAAGAAGAACGATTGAAATTGAATTTTGAAGAACTTTAGTGACTTGGCAGCTGACATGGATAAAATATTAGAGGGGTTGGCTGTCACAATGGAGGGACGTTAGGGTTAGGGGCAATTATGCAAATTTTGTTAACGGTAGGGATAGATTTGGACGAAAAGTATAACGGGTAGCAGAAATAAATAATATACCATAGTAAAGGGATAATTTTGAACTTTTTCCCTTGTTTTTTACATTAACCTTAGATTATGTGGACCCCACTTAGCTTCATCTTCATACTTCTCCTTCTTCAATCTTCATATTTTTCACATTTGATGAAAAACAAGAATAATTGCTTTCAATATACATTGTGTTGCTTATACAATCAACTATAAGCATTTAAACTGCTATGGCAGCCCAAATAGCAAGCTAGCATAGGAAAATTGGCATCTCAAATTGTTGTGTTTTTGTCTCCTTCAACCTCAAAAATTATCGTTACTATTTCCATCACTGCTACTGCCACCACCGTAAGAACTCCGTCCACCTCCTCCACCTCTACTGTAGCTGCCTCCACCACCACACAAAAAAGCATACCAAGCAAATACCTTCAATCTGTCACCCTAATAAGCCCATCCGAAAATTTCTTCTCCACTATCTTCATTGTTACCATAAAGGAGCATTTTACATCTTTCAAAAAGTCTAAAGAAAATTCAACGAAATAGAAGTTAAAAATAAACTCAAAAAGCTCCAGTTATTAATGAAATCAAATTACTACCATCTCCAGTTTACTTTTTATGGCAAGAATTTAATTTTATTTGTGAACAATCTCATCATTTCTTCCTAAAATCTCATCAGCCGCCACCTCCCCTCTGTCCCGTAACCCCCTTCAGCCACCATTTCATCACTTCTCCATAAAATCACCATTATAATCATGCCGGCGAAATTCACAGCTCCATAGCCACTTTCTCACCTTTTTCTTTCTCCCTCACAATAATATTTCTTTCGCATAACTAACAACCATAGATGGTCGTCGATCCCGTCGCCCCATTTCTACTTTTTAATCTTCTTTCCACTATTGTAACCCCAAAATTACCTATCTAAGAAGTCATTCTATTTTGGCAATGGGATCCGACTGCGGAGAAGAAGAAGTCAAGGTAGGGGAAAAATTGCAGCGGCTGGTTTAGGGAAACTTGGAAGAAGAAGAAGAAGAAAGGATGGGGGGGGGTTATTTTCTACTTTTTTTTTTGGTAAAAAACTAAAGCTATTTTCTTCTCTTTTTTTCCTTTTTCAAAATACACGTATAATTTTTTAATTCGTTCTTTTTGCACGTCAGCGCAATTGTATTTCACGCTTGTGATCTGTTATGTCCATGTTCACGAGGTTGCGCTTCAGTAGAGAGGAAGTGTCTAATTGATAATGGGGAGTGAAGGTACTCATCTTATAGTTCAGGACAACTTAAAGGAGCCGTTTATGTATTTCGCCTTTGCAAAATGACATCTTATACACATGCCAATGTCCAATTCCAATAAATCGAGTATGATATTCCCAAATTGGGTTTTATTCATATATATTCTCAAATTGGATTTTATTCATATCATTCGTCGATTCAGTTCAAATTCGATATTTGTGTTTCACTAGCACACATCTTTAACAAACTTACATTTGCAATTTGCGTTTCACCAGAGTACTACATCCATCTTTACAATATGGATAGGTTTGACGACCAATTAGAGGGGAGGGGAGGTTTAGGTTTATATTTTACATAAAGAGAAATATACTGAATCAAATCAGTAAGTATCAGCCTCCCTTGTCATGGTTGAGTTGACAATCGGATGCACTACACCTCTCCGGCCCTGTTTGACTCAACCCTATAAATGCTAAATTGGGCGGTAGATACTTTAGTTGATTTATTTATCTTTCTTCTAAGAATTCAAACTTAAGGATACATAAAAAAGGGAGTAACTAAATAAATATAGACAGACTCATAGTTACAGGGATCAAAAGAAACAGAATTCACCCTCAAAGGGAAGAAAAATAAATACAGATGTATGAGGCTCAAGGTCATAGGGATTAAGAAACAAACTTTTTGCAAGACCTTCATTTCAATTTTCAACACAGATTTCATTCAAGCCACCGCATTGGAATATATAACCTCAATACTATGCACAATTATGTTCAGGCGTAACTGTTTCTGAGGGCTTTCCTCTATTAATGTGGGGCCGAGGGCTGGGGCTAAGATTCGAATCACCCCATGGCTGACTCATCGTCCCAGGTTTTACATCCATGCCAAATTGGAAAACAGGTTGGCGTCAAATTCTTTTTATTAATCCTCGCTAGTTCCTAATGTGAGAAGGCACGGAAGAAAATATGTTATTGATATTGGATGATAAATACAATACAAGAGGTCCCTATTTATAGCTATACACTACAAGGAGATATTACTCATCTTCCAATATGGGACAAGACTACACTATACATATCTATAAACTAACACTCCCCCTCAAGCCGGTGCATACACATCATATGTACCGAGCTTGTTACACATGTAACTAATACGAGAACCAGTAAGAGACTTAGTGAAAATATCTGCTAGTTGATCATTCGACTTTACAAACTTTGTAACAATATCTCCTGAAAGTATTTTTTTTTCTGACAAAGTAACAGTCGATCTAAATGTGTTTAGTCCTCTCATGGAACACCGGATTTGACGCAATATGAAGAGCAGCTTGGTTATCACACACTAGTTCCATCTTGCTGATTTCTCCGAACTTTAACTC